ACACTAATTAGAAGTGATGCTAAACGTTGCAGAATTCATTTGCATGTTCTTACTGTGCACTAATAGATTGTTTTCATTTCTGTTGTGTCTAAAGTATCTTTATATTCTTAACTAGATCCTCAATTTAAACGGGGGAAGGAAAAGGGTGACAGGTCTTTGTTTTGCTGTTTAATGAAAAGGGAATTTAAGGAGCAGTTTGAGCTAGCTGTGTGGAAAGCCTGCTAATGGACTATTACAGTAATTTCTACAGTTCTACAGATTCTCATCTGATTCAGGAAAGCACATATATATTCTGATTTCAGAAAGCAGCTGCTTTAAGTAAGGGTGTTTAAACACATGTTCATCCTAAAGGATGTGCTTTGTGGTTACCACAAGCAAGTTCTGTTGAACAGTGACACTTTCCAGGAGGAAGGTGTATAATGCTGGAAGGTACAGCTCACTTGGTTGCTAGTTGGACCAGCTCAAATCTGGTAAGAAATAATTTTATTTGTAACCATCCATTTTAATGAAAGACTGTCACCCTAAATTCCCGAGAATGCCAGTTTTGTGTCCTTGCATCCTGCAAGTGTGTAAAAATACTTCTTTACTAAGCTACTATAATAGAGTTTCTCATATTTTCCTAATTATACATTACCTGCAAAGAGAGGTGCCCAACACAAGACTGACTTTGCAAATTACTGGAATATCCCCAAAGGAAGTTCATATTGTCTCTTAATTAAGTTCAAATTGGTTCCAGATTTTTCTATGTCAGGAAATAAGAACAAGGGCCAAAAAACAAACAAACCTATCAGAATATTTTCAAATATTCTGTAAGTAAGTTTTCTTTGTGAATTTCAGTAACTTAGACTCTGTTACCTTGTCAAAGACAGGAAAACCTGGAAGAGAAATTGAATTACTTTTACTTATCCACACTGAGGCAAAAAGTAACGGGGAAAAAAGATTGTAAGCATAAATGTTAATAAACACAAACATTTAAGGTGGTATTTCCTGTTTCCTAATACGGCCTATAGTCATTACAGGCATCAAGTGTTACAATCATATAGCAATTTATATGGAATTGAAGTATATTTAGCATTTATCGTGCTATTCATCCTGAAGCCTGTTTTGCCTGTAAGTTTTGGTGGATGATATTGGGTTCCTTGGGCACAACTAGACTTATTCAGAAACTATGCAGATAAAAACCAAATCATGTGAGAAATTTGTAGTGTTTGGGTAAAAGTCTAGGGCCAGCAAGCTTTTCAGTGCTCATTACTTTAAAAGACCAGTTAGTCAGAATTTTGTTTCTCATTTCCAGGGGAGGCTGTCACACAGTAGTGTCTATCCAAAGTTACCATGCAGTGACACCAGAAGTGCTTGCTGTGTATTAAGAACAGACAACACCATGTTCCTGTGAGGCTGGTCAGGTACTGGAAGGGGTTGTGCAGAGAGGTGGAGCACTCTGTCCATAGGGTGGATGAGGACTTAACTGGATATAGCCCAGAGCGTCCTTGTCACATCAGGCCTGCTTTGAGCAGGGAGTGGGGGAGGCACCTGGTTTCCACCCTAGATTGTAACCAAGGGCAGTGTCCAGTGGTCTCTCTGTCAGGGGGTTTTTAAATTGTGACTGCTGTGAGATGTTGTCGGTGTATCTTGTGGGTCTGTGATTCTGACTGCTATAATGAGTTCTGTCTTGATGTGGTAATGAGTTATCATATTCAGTATTCATCTCTCTTGTTTTTGTCACAGTTCTGTATGATTGTGTCATTTTTGTATTATTTGAAAGTATTTCTTCTATAAAATAAAATAATTTGGCATAAACAGAAAAAGGGTTTTCTTGTATGTCAAAGATATTTCTTGAATCTGTTATATTTGCCACATTTCTGATGATTTAATGAAAAAAAAATTGAATTTTGAATAACACTGTAATTTAGGTTAATGTAATGAGTTTTCAAATGAAGGTAAGAGAGAAAATCTGGGAAACTGAAGATCTAGAGGGGTTACTAAAGACCTGAAAGAGATACAGAGTATAAGGAAGGGCATATATATTCTTCCATGTGCTTATCACTCATGATATGTTGACAGCTGTATCAGAAGTTCGTAGTTGAATATTCCCAGAATTCTTGGGTAGCTCCACTTAAAACACATTGAATTGCCTTTTTTCATAACAAACATTTGCACTTTCTAAATTAGTATGGAAAGCAAATTAATATCCTGCTTATGACTAATTCCAAGGTGGAAACCACTCAGAAGAATACTGGCTGACTTTTCTGTTTAGGCTGACGCTTACTGCTGCTTTCACAAAGCAAACATTAAATCTGCATAATTACAGAAGGGCCATTTCTCAGTTTCCCTTTGCAACCTTAAGCTGCAGGAGCACAGGCAAAATCATAGCAAGGACATGTGACTCCTGTCTCTGCAGTGTTTGCAAGGCATCAGGGGTATGACAGAGTTTAGGTTATTTTTAAACAGCCTGCCAGAAATAGGCATTGGAACAGCGACCGTCCCCGTCCCGCTGCCGCCGGGAGCAGCAGCAGAGGCTGTCATGGGTACGTTGGGTTGGGCTCTCTCTTGTAAGCATGGAATCTTCTTTGTGTTTCTTGCTGCAGTTCTTTTAAGCACTTTGCAGGACTTAAAGGTAAGTGCAGTATAAAAAGAATATTTTTTTAATGAGTTAGATGAGCTGTGTCTTCTGCTTTTTGGAGAAGAGGGCCCATCGCAGCTTGTTTTGGCTCCAATTTCTTTTATGACTATAATGTTGTACATCTCTGAGAGGAAGAAGCATTTGCAGAGAGACTTGAGAAACTGCAGGCTAACAAAAGCAAGAATAGCCTTGTCTAAAACATCATGTGAAGAATGTATTTTTTTCTCTAAGATCACTCGATTGAGTAGCATTGGAAGAAAATACCAAGGAGTAAAGTTGATTTGGTTTTGGAATCTGTAAATGTCAGTTAAATCATTTGCTTGCCCTTGGAAAATCTCAATATTCTTGGATTTTGGAGCTTCTTAGGAGATGGTTCTGGTTCCTTATAATTTCTGAAAATCTCTAATATTTGAGCATAGATATCTATTGTATTTTCAATAGAGAATCAGGTATTCTGTCCCTTTAGTTTGTCTGCAGTTTGACCATCCAACTAAAAATGTAGTTGCAGTAGGAGATTTAATGAGGTGAGCTGGTAATAGACAAGATCAAACCAGGAAATTAATTTAGGAAAGTCGGTCCAGGAAAAAAATGTAGGATTGAGACCCTAACACTCTCACTTTTTAAGCACACAAAATTACTATTCTGTGTCTAGGGCAAAGTGTTTGTGTTCAAGTGTGTGTCTTTGGCATGGAAGTTCCCAGGTGTAGATATTTCACCAAGTAAATGCTACTTCCTGCTTCCTGTTTTCCATATTTTCTTCTCATAAACTGATTGAAGGAAATTACAGTTGTATTATCAAGCAAATAAATCAAGTGCTCAGTGTTTAGCTTCCTTCACAAATTCAATTGACCTATTAAGACTAATTTTAATGGACACAAAGAATAGATGCTGGCAGGAAGCTGGCATTTGTATAACTTTTCCACATTGCACTGACATGGTTATGAAGGCCTGGGGCTGTTACTGATCTATGAGTGGTAGAGGATTATGATCTGCAGTGCTGTGTGTGAAGGGCAGAATCAAACCTCTTCTCTAAAGGCAAGATTCTTGCTCCAGAAAGGTGTGTGAACTTCAGGTGAAACAAGTTAAGTGTTCAAATTTCTCAGTAAAATCCAGTGTGTGGCTTTGCCTGGGGAGTTCCTATCAGAAATACTTGGCACATCCATAAATTACTGCTCAATCACACTGGGACATAAAGGTGTTCCAGAACTGAATTCCTTCAACTTAGAAGTGAGTGGAAGTCACTTATGTGCCTTCAGTCGCCTGTGGGTATTTTCATGGGTGCTTGTGCAAGACCTCCTTCTACTCAGCTGTTGCACCTGCTTGGAAATACAAGGCCCCTGCCTGGTTACCTGTAGGGCTAAAACCAGTCTGCACAATATTCAGATATGGAAAGGTGAGCAGTAAGGGGAATGTCCTGAAATAGAACACGCTGCACATGTACAAACATGTACAGGGTTTTCAGAAAGAACAGTTACAACCTCTGCCTTGCAGAATACAGCCCTAGTGGCTTGTACAAAATCTGTGCAGTCAGAACTTTGGCAATTCTTACCTCCCTGTAGAAATCAAATAAATTACTGAGTATGATAAAATTCTTAAACACTCCCCTTGCCCCTCAAAAAACACAAAACACCCCAAAACCAACCACAACAACAACCAAAAAACCCCAAAAAGAAAAACTCCGAGATTACAGTTGAGATGCTATACGCAGTTAACCAAAATGTGAAAGGCTAATTGCCTTTTCAAAGAAGTATTTTGGGAAGTTCTAGGTTTTCAATATTTGGGAAAGCTTAAGCAGATGTTTTGGGAAGGAAAAGTAGCCTGGCATATAGGAGAGGATCTTTCAAGCAGTGACAGTTGCATTGAAGAAAAGGCAGAAGATGGATGGATGGATGGATGGATGGATGGATGATGGGAAGTATTAAGAAGTGAAGGTAACAAGGATGAAACCTTTGAGGGAGGCTTGCAAAGCATGAATTTGACACAGAAGATGGAAGGAAGTCAGTTTGGCACTTAAAATGCAGTGCCAGAAAAACACAAGGGATGGTGAAATTGCAGTTTGCCTCATTTCCAAGCTGCTGTGAGTACGTATTTCACAGAGCAGCCCCCTGGCCTGCCGAGTCACCAGGATCACTTGCTGGCATGCACACAGCACACTTCCTATGCTTTTACCTCGTGAAAAACCTGAATGTTGTGCTGTTGCATAAAGAACGCACAGAAGGACTGATTAGCCGAGGTGAGGGAGTGTTGCAGTGCGAGGAGCAGGCAGGGTAAAGAGGCTTGCGGTTTAATCCCGCAGGATTGCAGCGGCTGCGTGTGCCCGATCCCATATCCTATAGACGGAGGATGCAGTCACATGATTGTTACCGCTTCCTCCCCATGACATCACTGCTGCTGCAGCCAGACCGCCCAGGCAAGGATGCTATTAAAATCATTGCGATTGGCCTAAATGATGTTGCATTGCAGGTAAGCAACATAATTCTTCGGAAAAAAATAATTTGCCAGTTGCTCTTGTGCCGCAGTCGTAGAGCCCAGCTCCGTCGGGCAGTTTCTGCTGGAAAATGAAGCGGCACATTTCCTCTGCGAGCCGAGGGTTTGCAGGTGCAGAGGCTGCCTGCTGGCTCTGTGCTGATCTCCCGGCTGGCATCTCCCGTGGAAATGCTGCCAGATGGAGCTTTATAGCTAAAGGAGGCCCTTTGTTCCCTGTGCTTTCCGATGGCTCCTTCGGGTGTCTGCGGAATTCTGCATTTACGTGAGCAGCCATCACCATTCAGTCGTGCAAAGAGAGCAGCAATAGTGTTTTGCTTGCATCCCCTGCCTTTTTTTCCCCCCTGAATCCTTAAAGGAAGTTGCTGTTGTGTCTAAACTTATAAAGGAATGAGGATTAACTTGCTTGAGGGGTTAAGAGGTGTATGTGGGAAAAGAGGCTTTTCCTTTATTGTTAATTTTTGCTGATGTGGTTTCGAAGCACCTAGTCTGACAGGTTTCCTGCATAATTTGCTGTAGTAAAAGGTCAGTTTTTCCTTGTCCTATATAAATGTGAAAAATCCTTTTCCATAAAGAATGTAGGAGACAACAGGCGGTTTTTTTGCACCTTTGCAAAATGCTGATCACCAAAAGGCCGAAAAATCACAGGCAAATTGTGCTTTTGGACTTAATATTTGTGGAAGCAAAGTCCAGATGTGGATGTTTAATTATTCTCCTGGTGTGGATGTTTAATTATGTGCTCTGTACAAATACATGAATATATATCTGTAAAGGAAAAAAAATGGTGACTCCCCTGTGGGGCTTTTTTCTGTATAGCTTTTAAAATATATTTTAGTGGTTTAAAATTTTTAATTTTTTAAAAGCTTTATTCTAATGCAAATGTTACAGTGTGAGGAACTAAATTAATTTTGAGCTAATACTGGTCAGAAAAGAAAATTATGTATTTTTTAAACAATTGTGATAGATAATTCTGTGCCTTGCCAGAGAACCGAGGATGACTAAGCTCAGCTTCATCAGGCAGAGAGTCAGGTGACTTTTTACTCCTGGTCTACAGGACGTTTTTTTTTATTCTTCCAAATCCTGTTCTTTGTTCAAATAATTTGTTCCCCTTATTGGAAAAATGTGAAAATTTGGCATGCCTAGAATCTCTGTGTGCTCACCTATACATTAAGGGGGGATATTTTGGATCTCCTGTGCTGAAGTAGATTGTACATCCTAGGGAGGGCTGAATTCTGGGTTCCAGGGATCAGGTATGCTGTTGTGTCAGCATCAGAAAATAAGGTGTGGTGGGAGGGATAAGTAGATAATGAGTTATTGAAATACAAAAATACAATGGTTGTTCCAAACTGAAAAGAAAAATAAATTTCAATTTTATTTTTCTCCAAAAGAACCTCTCCTGTCTTTTCAAGACTGAGCCTCTAAAGTGATGGAAATACAAACCTGTTGCTGCATGAGGTGATAGGGGTGGGGGGGGAAATTGCATCCTGCCAGTGCCAGTGCTGGGTTTCTTCTCCTTGGTTCCCTCTGGAGTCAGGGCTGGCTCAGTTCTCTCCAGCACTGGCTGTGAGCCCAGCTGTGCCCTGGCCCACCAGGATCACTGGGACTGTGCTCTTTGCCCATGCAAGGAGCACAGCAGGGCTGCCATGCAGGGTTCTACAGGTGTGAGGGGTTCCCCCCTCCTCTGCATCCTATGGAAGTGCCCTGTGGAAACGCGTGCCAGGCAGGGCTTCTCCTGGTCCCTCAGTTTGAGTTAAACGTCCTCTGTGCAGGAAGAAGGGCACCAGCCTGATGTGTGTGCTGCAGGCCCTGGAAATTAAGGATTTAAGTGCCCTAAGAGTTACTTAGCATAAAAGTGGGATCCAGGGGTCATCCCCAGCTGGAAGGGGCTGTCCCTGGCAGCACTGGGATGCCATGCCAGGGCTCCAGCACATGGCTGCAAGAGTGCTCAGCCCCTGTGCCCATAGGGGCCTCTCTTACACACCTTGTACCTTTTCAAAGGCAGTGACTGGAAGCTTTTAAACAGGGACCAGAGGAGGAGGAGGAGGAATGGAGTGTGTTGACCCTGGGTTAAAGAACTTCCTATCTGCCTGAACAGAACAGGCTCTGGAGCACTGTAACCTCCTGGGGCTGGGAACTGCTCCATCATGAAGCTGCTGTTTGCTGATCTGGAGGGCAAAGTGAGCAGGACTGTGACTGTAGCCAGGTGCTAGAGCAGGGGAAAAGGGGATGCTCCCAACACCCAGGCTCCTCCACAGTCCAGAGGCACCTTGCTTGTGTTGGAGGTTGGTGTTGTGTCATGTTCAGCTTTTCTCAGGCTGAACAGCTCCTGGCTCAGCATGGTGCTCAACCCTCAAAAGGGGTGTGGTGCCCAGAGGTCCCAGTCCTTTCCCTGGTTGCTTTTGCCACCACCCTGCAGCTTTCAGGGTACCCAACAATAATTTTTCCTCTTTGTGAGAAATTGTAGAGAAAGTGTCTTAATTCATTTCTGAGTGTGCATACATACACACCAGGTGTTGGGTTTTTTTTCAGCTTACTTCATCTCTAGCCTGGCAGAACTAAAAATTCACATATGATTATTAATGTCAAAAGAGAGACTCTGGCAGGGTTACACGAGGCTGCTGTTCCTAAAACACTTAACATTTTGCTCTTAAGCATCACCCCAAGGGAAGGGTCTCCCCATCCCGCAGAAGCTTCCTCTCAGGGGATGCAATAACTTGTCTGGAGCTGTGCAGCCCACTGGCATCAAAGGCAGCAGTGAAAACCAGTGCCCTGTGAGCAGGCAAACATCACCCTCCTGTGTGAAAATGACTCATAGCCTCTGCCCAAATCATGAGAATGACATGCTAGAACAGATGAATGGCTTTCCCAATGTGGGTTTATCAGTTTTATTTCAAGCTGAAGGCTCAAAAAGGTTTTCAGTGAGAGATGCATTGAATGCCATTGAATATCCCATTTCAGGAAAGAGCTGTTTAGGAATAACTGTGTACCAGGGCCCCTCCCTTCTGACAGTGCAACTCTGCTCTCTCTGAACACATTCACTTTTTCTTTTTGCAGTTCCGAACCTAGTTTTTCCTCTTAATCTTAAAATTGTCTGAACGAAGAGGCAAAGAACAGCACTGGTGCTGCAAAGCTCAGCTGTGTCTGACATGAGGAGGAAAACCCTGTAGCACCCCTGACTCTTCAGAGATGGATTAGAGCTCTGTGGCAGTAAAAACCATGGGTTCAGAAGGGAAACTCCCCCTCTTTTTTGTGAAGAAGAGGACTTGAGGAAAACCAAGAATAGAAACCATGCTCCTGTACTGTTAGGGCTGGTTTCCAGGGTGTCCTGTCTCCTGAAATGTAGTTTCTTACCCAGAAGTTGAAGGCTTCCAGTGTTTTACCTAATAAAATCTTGTTTTCTTCAAGAAGTAAGGGGGTGTGGGGTTGATTCAGTTCATGAGGCTCATCTGCCCAAACTTCTGGGCTGTTAGCAGAGGAGCATCCTTTAATAGAGATGTTTCAGCTCAGTTTCAAAACTGCAGATGAATATTCCAAAGGCAGTGATGCTTCCCTCCTGCTTTTTCCACAGCCTCAACATCTGCACTAACAAGTAAATTTATTGGAGGGACCTTTAAGACTCACTGGAAACAGAGATGTGAGTTTAACATTTTTTATATAGAGCCAATTTTGGCAAAAATTACATTTGGAGCTTGCAGGGAAAGAGCTGGGATTTTTTTCCCCCCCTTTTCTGACATAACTGAGCAGCTGAACTAATTTTGCTCAGACTTTCCAAGAAAACTTGAAGGGGAAGCAGGCACATGGTATTTCATACCAAAAGAAATTGTTTTCTAAAGGGACAGTCATCATGGAAGGAGCAGGGACGTTGGGATGTGGTTTACCCCTCAGAGGAAGAGAATGGAGGAGAAAAGGAGCAGAGGGAGTCTGGCTGTGATGGAAGGCTGGGGAGCCCTGGTGGCTGGGTATCAGCTCCCATCCATGCCACCCTGAGCCTCCCTTTGCCTGTGCTCCTGCTCTGTTCCCTGGGTCACCCCATGAGTACATGTCGCCACATGTACTGAAGGCTGTGGTTTGGTCAGAGGAGTGCCTCAGTTTTCTGCCATTTATCCCAAATGTTCCCCCCTGCCTTCCCCTGCTCTCCAAGGCCCTCTCTCCTGTGATCTGATGCCCTGTGTTTTCTGAGCTCTGCTGTGGCTTTGTAATTTTTTCCATGGAGGTTATTCAGGGTAAATCTGCACATCAAAGATGTGACTGTATTTAACTTGACCACACTATCATAGCTGGAAACGCCATAATATGTGGTGGTAGGGCCATACAATAAAACACTGCAATATTTTACTGTAGTGTTTCTGCTACTGCAGCCTGCCTGTGCTAGTGTGGTGAGAAACTGAGGGTTTGCAGAGCTATTTACTTGTATTTGGAGGCTGTGCAATCAGTCCTTGAATTGTAGGAAAAGCATTTGCCAATTTAAAAATCTTGTCTTTCCTCTGTATTTTCTCAATTTGTAGGGATTTTTTCCCCCATACTATGTTTCAAAAAAAGGGCTGTAAGCGAGTTCAGTATTTTCTGCTTTTTCCAGGAATCTGAACGTGATTACTCTGGTTCAAGGCCATTTTAACACCTTTTTATAAACTTCATCATTAAGACAGAAGGTCAATAACTTGTTTGGCTTGTTCAGTCTGAAGCTTCTAAATTGCATAATCTTAGATTGCCTGTAAATATTTTTCAACCTATAGAAAATCATCCATTTAACTTGCTGGGGATTCAGCCTGCTTGCTTTTGCTGAAGAATTTTTCTTTGTAAAATCACCACCCAACAGCATATTACTTCTTGTTGAGAAGAATGTTTAATAGCTGTTTACCTGTCTCCTCTATCACACATTGCCATTTCTAAATCATCTTCTACATGGCAGGTGGTGGAAGGGGAATTACATCCACACCACCTTGGCCTTTCTTGGTCTCTTCCAGGCTAAGCAGACCTCA